GACAAAAGGGAGACGAAAAGCCAAGAGCCAGGGCCAAAGCTGACTGCTACAGGATGTTCAGGCAAGGTGTTGCAAAAACCGGTTAAACCCAAGAGCTAACAAGGAAGATGAGCTAAAACACTCATCTTCTACAAGATGAGGCCGTGAAACAGGAACACAGCCGCTGCGTAGGTAGGCAAGCTGCAGAACACCTTGTGCCCCAACAAGCAAAATACCACTTCCTACCCAAGGCCAAACAAAGGCCACGAAACCCCAGCTGGCCTCAAGGGTGGGGTAAATGTCAAGCAGCAAGAACCCCTTCGGAAGTGGCATCCCGAAGGCACTATGGAAGAGAACCCTATCACCCAGAGGTAGTACAGTACTTATAGGGTACTTAGAGAAGATAGCCCTAAGTGCATGCAGCCCCAGTACACTGATGTTACACCTTACCACCACAACACAGCAGGAAACACCACTAAGGCAAAACACTGCCAAGAAATCGACACCAGAGTTGACAACCCCCAGATCGCATTAGCCAACGAACTGGGGTCGAGTTCGTTGGCGCCTTTCTTTGGCGTTGACAGATCAGGGGCACCTGACAGCCGAGTGGACAGCGCTTCGAATCCGTAGTCCTGAGGTTCCGGGTTCGATCCCCGGTAAAGGCGGAAACAAAAATGGGCAGTTTCTTTCACTCTGATGCACCTGTTCACCTAGCAGTAAATAGGTATCTGGGAGTCAGACAGCTGCTACTGGCTGCTTCCTGGGGGGATGTGTAACAAAAAGGAGGCCTGGTCAAGGACCGAGCCGTGGGGACGCTTAGCCCCGAAATCATCTCAAGTTAACCTCAAATCATCTCAAGATGATTTGTAGCCAGCATGGTGGGTTCAGGGTTTCCCCATCTTCCCCTCCCGGGAAGGGAAGGGCTGTGTGGACAAGTGGAACGATGGTGGTGTATAACGTTTGCTTGTTTCCTTGAGAATTGGGGGAGTTCTGCCTCCCAGTTCGGTCTTTGGTTGCAATTTTATTACCAAGTGGGGGGGGGGGGGGATGTTTTGTTATGCCTACCTTTCTGGGTGCCTAGCCCCAGTCGATGGCAGATAAGGAATACCCCCAACCACAAGGGGGGGGTTTCCAGCAGCCACTGTTCCATGTGCCTCTCTGAGGGGTCCATCTGGCTCATGGTCCCAGTAGGCTGAACTCCCTTGACTAATGCCCTAGACTAATATATCACACACTAGCCCGAAAGCTCCAGGGAGCCGAAGGGCTTCCCCACAGAAGAAAAAAACATTCCTTCTTATTTCTCAATAATTCTTGTGCACAATTCATACTTTAATCTCTTCTTCCTCCACACACTCACCATGTCCAGCCATCTTCTTGGCCTTTAATACTCTACTACTCCATCATCCATTTCTTCTACATGAAACAGTGAAAGTAGAAAAAGATTACATGTACTGTATTCAGAATTTATATTAAACAGGATTAAACACGTACAGTAGTCACTATTTAAAAATAAAGACAGCTACGTCACGGAGACACAGTCTCCGTGGTGTAGTGGCAAGACACTCGCCTGGCGTTCTGGGAGCACTATGACCAGGGTTCATATCCTGGCCAGGGAGGATTTACTGGGTGCAAATCCTTAACTGTAGCCTCTGTTTAACCCAACAATAAAATGGGTACCTGTTTGTAAAAACGATTCTTCGTGGGGGTCGTATTCCAGGGAACGTAGGATTAAGGACTTGCCCGAAACGCTACTCATACTAGTGGCTGTACAAGAATGTAAAAACTCTTGTGCATATCAATAAATAAATAAATAAAATAAATAAAAGAAAGATGAGAAATATGGAGGGATGGAAAATTATCAGTAGAGAATGAAAAAACCAATTGGAGCACCGAGGTGACTAATCAACAATCAGGGTACTCCCAGTCACGCGCCTCACCCCTGCACCATGACATGGTATAAGTTATAAGACCTGTGGATTCTTCACTGAATCCACAGGAAGTTTGGAGGCTTCTACTGAACATGTTCCAAGTTTGTTCAAGTGTGTAAGTATTTCAAGGTTGCTCTGGTGTATGAATGTATATTCCAAGCCAATAAAGAAATTTGGGAACATAAGGGAACCTAATAAATACTTCCAAAAGGTATTATCAACCAGGCTGTTACTAACATGTCAGACTGCATGCCGTGGCATCAAACAGCCAGACTGACCATCAACCAGAATGATTGATGGTCCATGAAGTCCAAAGTCTCTGTAATGCATTTTCTCAGAACCATGTCCAGGTAACTTCAAGGTATAAACAATGGAGAGAGCACCAAGGGCATGCATTCCCCAGATTGAGAACCCATTATGTGTGGGGTTAGGTTATTTGCGCCAGTCACCTTATTGTGACATTCTCTGCATACAATCTAAATCAAACTTCATACTGCTTGTAAAAAAAAAAGGAAAAGTGAAATGACACTTTAACCCTTAAAGTGCGCATCACGTCATATGACGTGTTGGACGTTGTTCCAGTCAACTGTGCATCACGTCATATGACGTGTTGGAGTACTACGCAAGATTTAAACGGCCCATGGATACACGGGGTTCACCACACCGTCATCAGGGCTCTTGTAAACAGACGCCATTTTTAAAAAAAATCGTGGGCCAAACTCCCGGGTGTTATTGGCCTCAGTATTGAGTGAGCAACCGAGCCTGACACACGCAGCATGAGCTAACAGCACTGCTGTTCAGCTTGTGACCATAGCATCGCCTAAAAATGCCAAAATATACTTGTTCATGCTATTATGTAGCGATGATATTATTACAGAAGACCCCTGACTGTGATAAAACTGACCAGGGTTCTGATAATAGCAGGATTGTGGTGATATTTAGCGCTGTGCGCCATGGAGGGAGGAGTAATGCTGTGGGAGGGAGGGTGGTGGCAATGTCTTCTGACTGTGTGTGGCCACCTTTTATTGACAGCACTCACCACTCGACCGGGAGCCGGTCGGCCGAGCGGACAGCACACTAGACTTGTGATCCTGTGGTCCTGGGTTCGATCCCAGGCGCCGGCAAGAAACAATGGGCAAAGTTTCTTTCACCCTATGCCCCTGTTACCTAGCAGTAAAATAGGTACCTGGGTGTTAGTCAGTTGTCACGGGCTGCTTCCTGGGGGTGGAGGCCTGGTCGAGGACCGGGCCGCGGGACACTAAAGCCCCGAAATCATCTCAAGATAACCTCAAGATATAACCATACCAGCTTAGTGGTTCGCTATGGTGAACACAAATGTAGATACTTATATATAACGTGTGTATAGAGGGTATAAACAGCAAGAGAAGGTTAGGAGCGGCCATTTTGGTGAGGGCGGTGGCGTCGTCTGCACGACGCCACCGTGCAGACGACGGTGTTGTTTACTGGTTACCACAATGGTCTTTACCAGTTTGTCTTTATACCAGTTTATTTGTACAAGTATGGTGAATAAAACAGGTAGATATTTATATATAATGTGTGTATATAGCGTAATAACACCACACAGTATTGTTGGAGGAAAAATATTAGTGCGTCTGGCCTTGAGGGCGGCAGCCATCAGCTGACTGTGTGAGGTCCTACGTCCTTGTGCCTTTACTCACCATACAAGCTTAGATGTACAGTTATGGTGAACAAAACATGTAAATACTTATATATAACGTCTGTATATAAGATATATAGCGTAATAACACCACACAGTATTGTTGGAGGAGAAATATTAGTGCGTCTGGCCTTGAGGGCGGCAGCCATCAGCTGACTGTGTGAGGTCCTACGTCCTTGTGCCTTTACTCACCATACAAGCTTAGATGTACAGTTATGGTGAACAAAACATGTAAATACTTATGTATAACGTCTGTATATAAGATATATAGCGTAATAACACCACACAGTATTGTTGGAGGAGAAATATTAGTGCATCTGGCGTTGAGGGCGGCAGCCATCAGCTGACTGTGTGAGGTCCTACGTCTTTGTGCCTTTACTCACCATACAAGCTTAGATGTAGTTATGGTGAACAAAACATGTAGATATTTATATGTAATGTCTGTATATAGTGAATTATAGCAAAAACAGTATTGTGGGAGGAGAATGTGGGCGAGTCAGATGACTTGAGGGAGGGCAGGAGTGGCTGGCTGGTACACGGCGGTCACTCCTCGTTACTTTTTGACTCATAATAGCTACTTAGTGGTTCGTTATAGTGAACAAAACATGCAGATACTTATATATAACCTGTGCTTATAGTGTAATAATCGACAAAGTATTTGTTCACCGATTGATGAACATAATTGAATCAACAATATGCACACCATATTATTGAGTACAGCAATGATTCACTCATTTTATTATATAAATATATCAAACTACACACTATTGAATATTACAGCAAAAAAAAACTATGAAAAATCAATCAGAGACATTGAAATAATTAGGTAATTATCTCTTTGTGGCAACTCCGGCCTGACAGCTGGCGAGCAACAGACTGCCTGGGACGCACGCTGAGTCAGCGCCTATAATTTGCCAGACTTCCCCGCCCTATAGCGGGCAATATATGCCACTTACGATTTTTTAATTATTTTTCCCGTGATCAGTGAACACAAATTAACAGGTTAGGAAGAAAAAATAAATTTTTTTTTCAAAATTACATGCGCCTGTGGGGAAGAAAGGATATTATACCCCTAGCATGTTAAGGGTTAATACAAAATGAGAAATGGAATTATCTGCAACCATCCTCATTCTAACTTTTCAGCTACACATACAATAGAGTACTATGTCATAATTTCATCAATGTTTTTACAGCTACAATTATTTTCATTTACAGCCATGACTCCACCTACCTAATTAATATACTGTAGACCTATAATTAAAATGTAAAAAAAATTACACCAGTGGTTTAGTCAATTCAAACACAGTGTAGCGCAATAATTCATCAAGTACCATAACACACAAGAAATGTGTGGGTGTTTATAACACGTACAGAGTAAAGAGTACATAAAACGCATATTGTGCTACTTTACTCACTCTGCGAAATTCTTGTATTGAGCATATAAAG